AAACCAATTGCCAGTTTGTTGGGCGTGCAGAACACCTGAAAGGGCGCGCATCGCCTGCGCGTCTCCCGGAGGGCTCGGGATGTGGCGGGAAACCCCTAATCGATGGAGCGAGTCGGAGGAAAGCCAACAAGAATGTTCATCGCCAGGCCACTGGCACTGAACTGATGCCAGATTGGTAGACAGGTGGATACGTAGGGCGAATTAACTACGCGGATGAGCTGCATATTTTCGGCTGGAGCTCTTCCAGTTATGTACAGCGTGGTAGGGCTGGTGAGCAAGTAAGCCCCGCAGCCAGGAATGTCGAGGCTGAAGAAGCTGTATTGAATTGGGGGCTGTGTATCGTGATATCGCTCTGACTGGATTGGGCCGAATCAGAAATTCATTTAGTCTCGAATGCCGTTGCCAGCTGCCAAGTCTCTGCTTGCAAGCATCGACTCAGTCGGGCTGCCAGTAGACAGCTCGGAGACGCCATCTTAAAGTTCGGTGCCAAGAATTGCGCTATCAGTGACTTGCCTGGGAAATAAGTTCAAAAAGACGGCTGATCTGTGTCCATCCCGTTCGAGTCGACTCGGCCTCCACCGTAGGGTGAAATGATTGCACTGAATTAATAAGGTAGCTGTTAATATCGGCGGGCGGCCCATTGTTGAAGTAAGAACTCGGTTGCACCGCAGAAACCTCGGGCGATTTCAGACCGAGTTAAGATGACTGACTATTCCATCACTGCGCCCAAACCCTGTATCCATAACAAGCCGAGACAGCTGGATTCGATGCTGCAACGCAATGAGTACCACAATATCCGCAGCTTCAGCATTCGACCCTTGCGAGCTGATAGACCAGTGCCTATAACGTCAGATGGACAATAAAGGCGGTCAACATTTCCTCATGGAGCCGATTTCAGCAGGAAGCTCAGCCCTAACGCTGACGTGTTTGTGTTATGGGCCATGCCAACATTTTGGCGGAGTTCGGATTTCGCAGCATCGTGTCATGTAACGGGTTTGAATGAAGAGGCTGGAAATGGCAGGATAAAACGAGACGGCGTATGATGTAGAAGAATGGTGTATGAGATTGTAGTCGCTGGGCTGACTTGCACTGGCGATGCGGTTTTAGCTCTGCCTTGCATCAGCCAACACGGGCCCCAATGGAGTGTGCACTCAACGGTAAGTCATGATCTGGAGGGGGGAGGGGAATGTCACAACGATGGGTACTCGAAGAGACAAGTCAAGAGAACTGATTGGCCTTGTCATGGCAATGAGATTGACTACCATGACCGAGACAGTAAGGCGGTAGCGTCTACGTAGTATGGTGAGAGAAGATGATGAGGTGCGTTTGCAACTTGTCAAGCACACAGAGCGGGTTTGGGGAGCCCCGCAGTTGGCAGTGGAAGCAGTGGAATAGCCCGTAAGGGAAAGGCGGCGGAGATCCCCCAAGTAGAATTTGACGGAAAGACTGAATGAAAGTACGCATCGAAGCCTTGCACGCCGGGGTGACGGAAGGATCGAATCAGCACTTGCTACAGGTAGTTCCATACTGATATGCAGCGAGAAGCGGGATCGCTCGCGTCGCGTGATCCAAGATCCGGTCTAGATGTCCGAAGGACACAATGACTTCATTTGATCCGGGAAGGGCATAGCTGATAGGGTTATGAAGAAAACGCTGCAGCAACCCACCAAAGCAGTCGGCAGGGCGAATTGCAGCCTCCGAGCCATATGAAGTGGGTGACTTCATGAAAATTCACTCTATCGAAAGTTGAGAATTGTGTGCCGACGAGACGAATGATGAATAAGCAGCTAGGCTAAAACACCACGGGAAGCCGCAGGCCACACAGCCGCCCCTGATGACAGAGCAGTAGCTAAGTAATATCAACAGAGCGGTTCAGGCTGATAAGTAAATAAGTTCTATCAAGACCATGGTACAGCTCGAGACTACTGACTCTTGCAGGCAACCGTTGCAGTCCAAGTTGCATGTGCCAGTGGTCAAGCCAGGGGTAGCAAGACACGGCTCAATGGTCCAATGAGAAGGTCGGGGACCGCCGACGACGCCGCCGCCGCGAACCAGACCTCCTGGCCAGGGCTCGGTCGCAGGGCCACGCAAGCCAGCGTTCAGCCGGTAAATTTAGAGGTGGTCAAGGCTAGGAGAATAACAACTTTGGTCCGGATTCCGGGCGGTGGATCTCAGCCCAGCCATCGGCGGCTTGAAACTCGCAATTTAGGATGGACCACCAACTGAATGACAAGACTTGGCTCTGATACACAGCCCTTCTCGAGTAATTTCCCAAGCTACGATTGGTATGACCAGCTATTCACCGAAGGGGAGTTGCCGCCTATCACGCAGCACTTGGAGAGTCGAGTTGCGACAAAACAGCCAAGACCCCAAGTCGGACTTTGCTGTGGGCCAGGTGTTTATTTTTGTCCCAGAGGGTAAATATAGGTACCAATTTACGTGCCGAGGGCCCTACTGCCTAGCGAGGGCAACTATGTGGTTATTTAGCTGCTAGCAGAATCGCGCCGAGAGACCGGTTTCGAGGAGGAATTCCGAGATGCGCTGCCAACGTATCACCTCGCCGGCGGCTACCGAACAGAAACTGTCTAGTCGACTGGGTCGGTAAGCAGCGTGCTCTGTATGGCCAGTCATACTACGAGGCCCGACCCCAGCAAAAGACGATTGACAGAGGCTGCAGGCAGGACGGGGCCTGACTGCCGTGTGCAGGATCTTGAGTCGGCATAGATTAGTCGCTTGTCGTCTTACTCATACGCTGTTGGAGAGAAATTTGTGGTGTTATAATAGCACCTTTTTTAGCTATGACTCAAGATAGCAGGAAGGGTCATTAGGCGAATCAGATAGAGTTGTCTGGCATAGTACGGCTGATTCAATTGACTGAGGTAAATAGCTGGCGATCCAACTCGAATGCGCAGCAATAATAGAAAAAAAGGGTTCAGATTACGGGTCGCAGGGCAGAGGCCGAGTCGCATCAAGTAACAAGTAGTCCCGATTCAAACAGTCAGACTGCATGACACATCACACTGAAAGGCCGAAGCGGAATACGTGCTACTTAACGAACACACCCTTGGTAGAGATAAGGTCAGAGCTGGCAGCGACTTTGTTTCGCACGCGCGCGTGGTCTTCCAGATCAGGTTCCCTTCAGCCTTGTGGTGTGCAGCGTCATGGCCAAGATGCACGCCAAGTGACGAGTGGCGGACTGAGGGACAGCCCTGGATAAACGAGGGTGCATGTCGGCAGAGGCAGTGCACCGGATGGAATGAGGGGACAGAACCTTCTGTTGGCTAGTTTACCAGGACTGGTGAGTCGGACAGGAAATATCGTCGACGCTGATGGCAACATCCGGAGATACTAAAGGCTCATAGAGGAGGCCGACCCGGGCGGCCATCCCAAGACAGACACGGCAGCACGCCGGCACCAACCAGTTCGGTGAGGACTAATCACCCCGCGAGCAAGACACGGCACGGGACGGAGGAGACGTTGAGCTGGCTGCGAATAGTTGCCAGTAAACTAGTAAATCGTTGCAGCATACGTGCATGTGGAAAGCAACACTTGGTATCAAGCAACGGCAGCGGGTTCAGCGAAGAGTGTTGTTGCCCTCTTGCCCTCTACCCAGGTGACCCACCGCCCACTACGAGCACCAAGACGAACAGTATAGATTTCTGCACGTCTTGGTTGCTGGATGTGCCGACAAGAATGTAGAAGATAGATGAGCAAAAAAAAAAAAGGCATTGAGAAAGTCTTGCAGCGAGCTCCCACATGCATACTCGTCTGCAATAGCGACATTAGCTTGTATGGACATGGCAGGTTGAGCGCTGTGCGTAGGTAGTGTCACTGGTGTGGTTCTCATGAATAAAACTAGCGCAATGAGCTGTAGCTGGGCCCCCACAGAGCCGGCCGGCGCACACCCCTCCCTTCTCTTCCCCCAGGAGGTCCATGCAACCACCCCTTTGGCGTTTGGCGGCCACTCCCCCTACTTCAACCACCATGGTATTGGCAGAATACAGCGGTGGCCCCTGTTATGCCCGCTCATAACGCAACTCCCTCTAGCACACCGTAGCACCCCTACAACCCTACTGGTACACCACCCACCGCGCAACCCTACGCCGTGCAGCGCTAGGGGACTCGCTACAGGGCAAGGCTTTTGGTGGATTCCGTGCGGACACTGGGCGGGCACTGGGCTGCGTAAGTGCCTCTACGTATTCTGCGCCTTGGAAAACCTTAATAATAATAATACTGCTTTGCTGGGTGCTGCCGGCGTGGCTTCAGGCGTGGCTTCAGGCTGGCTGTAGGCTGGCCGAGGCGGGGGCTACAGGCTACAGGCCCTTCCAGGCAGCATGTTTGTGAAATTTATAGGCGGCCTAGGGAGTCAGGCAGGGCAGGTGGAAAGGTCCCCAGCAGAAACTCGGGTAGCGCCTGCGACTTGCTATATGTACGCAAGCCGCCCACTCCCTCAATTCTTGTCAAACGCCCTCTCCGAATCCTCCGTTTGACTCGACGCCCATTGCCACATTCTCACCAGCTCACGTCCGCCGCCCGGTCGACTGCTTGCTTCTCTTGCATTTCAGCCTTCTTTCGACCCTCCTCCTCGCACTCGAATTTTTTCTCCGATTAGTACGCCCTAGAAGCAACCCGATTTCGTCTTGTTGTCGCTTCTCTAGCCGTTTTTCCGTGCTCCCGCAAAAAGTCGTCGTCATCATCTCGCCGCTCCACCGCAGTTCACCCTATCCGCCTCGCCGCGACAGCTTTTGCACTGCCAACCTGCTTGCTGCTTTCAATCGACGCCTCATCACTCCCATTGGAGCCTCTGCTGTTTTTAAAAATAGACTCCTGTCGACTGGCCACTTGTATGCGCCATTCATCGACAATCTCTACTCTATGCGGCTTACACACACGCCGTAATCTCATCACTACATAACCACCGCTCGTCTTGATTATTGCCCATCCTGGCGGCACCGCAACGCAACCCTCCCTGCACATCGCAGCAGCAACGCGACGCCGCCATGGCCTATCCTCCTTCATACCGCGAAGTTGCTCCTTCTTTACCGAGCATCAAGATTCACGCCGGCGACCGCTTCTCCTCGCGCCACGACATGTCTTTTGGCCGGAGCAGTGCGATGCCCATTCCCGGTATTGAGCCTCGTCAGCACGTTCCTCCGCCCTTGCCTCCGCCTCCTGAGCCCTTTACCGATGCTACTCGTCGTGCTGAGGATCTCAAGAGGGAACGTCGCGGTTACGCCAGCAACTATGGCAGCATCAATTCCTCCTACGCCGACCAACGACCCAGTCTCAAGCGCCGAGACACCGGCAGCACCACTGGTGATGAAGGGTACGCCAGCTATGCATCTACAGACCGGTATGCCTTGGCGACAAAGCAACTGCTGCCTTGTGCACCTCGAATTCTCTACTGACCAGCTCTAGCTCCCGCGAGTCCTTTCCTACCGAGTTTGTCGCCCTCCAGCATAACAATTTTAGCTTCAAATCCGCCGCCGACAGCCACTGCGACAGCATGAAGGCCAAGCTTGATTGCCTGCGCCCCTTGGATCGATCACCCTCCAGCTCCATGCTCAGCGATGTATCTCATGGAAATTCTCGCCTGGCCCCGCCTGTCCATCAGCCTGTGCAGCTTCCCATCCACAGTCGCGACCGTGGCCTCTCAGACTCGCGTGAGTCTTCATTTAACTATCGGCCTTACGATCGGTCACCCAAGGACGCTTCTGAGTTGGATTACTCGTCACCTCGAACCCGCTCTCGCCGCAACACGGGCGATGAAACTAACTCTGTCCATGCAAGTTACGACTACCTTGCGGCCGAAGATATGGACATGGAGGAGACTAGCTCTTTGAAGCGTCTGCACATTGACGAATCCCATTCGGCTGCTGGTATCAAGCGCAGAGCCCCCAGCCCGCCCGATGAGTACGCTGGTCATGGCCCTCTTGGTGTGGCTGAAGCCATGCGCCGCCGCGAGGGCGCTCTTCGCTCCAACCCCACTCCCCGGCTCGCTACTATTCCCCAGGGCTCTTCGCTATCTGCCACGCCGGCGCTTATTGGCTCTCGGGCCAACTCGTACTTGTCTACACTTTCGATTCCTCCTGCCCAGAGCACTGGCAGTGCTTATAACCACCGTTCTCCTGGCAGCATCTCCTCCCACGGGGTCTCACCCACCAGCGCTAACTCGCCCTACGTCTCGACCATGTCACTCAATAGTAGTCCGCGTGGCTCCATCTCGCGTGCTTCTCTGCATAGCAGAGGCCCGTCAGGCAGTAGTCCTCGCAAGGTTGCAGAACCTACCAAGGCAGCAGTAACAAAGTTGCAGGGTTTCTACATGTGCGAGTGCTGCCCAAAGAAGCCCAAGAAGTTTGACACGCCCGAGGAGCTAGCGTAAGTCGTCTCCCATAGTTGGACGACCTGGTACATCAAGCTGACCCAACTCTTTACAGTGCTCATGAAGCTGAGAAGCTGTATGAATGCAACTATTGCGGTAACCGTTTCAAGAATAAGAATGAAGCGGAGCGCCACCAGAACTCACTCCATGTTCGACGCCACAGCTGGTCTTGCTCTGCTCTGTCTGGCTATGATCGAGCTTTCCATGAGTCGACTAACCGCCCCGGAGAGGCTGACGTCTGCGGCTACTGCGGTGACGAATTTGCTCGCACTGGTGTGACGCCTGGCACTGGTGCCCTCAGCGGCGGCGTTGTTCCCAAGCGCCCTACCGACCAAGACTGGGAGGAACGTATCCGCCACTTGCAAGAGGTGCATAAGTTTAGGGAATGCAACTCTTCCAAGAAGTTTTACCGCGCCGACCACTTCCGTCAGCATCTCAAGCACAGCCATGCCGGCACAAGTGGCAAATGGACAAACATGCTCGAGAATGCTTGTCTCATGGACGAGGACCCCGCACAACCCGGAGGCCGATCTTAAGTAGCAAATGGATTTGGGAGGTTCATCAACAATAATCACCAGGGCGAGAGCATCGTGCACATATTGCGCTCTTTTGCAACGAGTTTTACGACACATCTTTGACAAGGCAGTGTTGATCAAAGTCATTACAAGGCGTTTTTTTTTATATTATATATTGGGCAATGGGAACAGGAACTTGTACTTGTTTTGTTTGGGGAGGGGAGGGGGGCAAATTGGCTTGCAAGGCTGACGAGGTAGGATACCACGGCCACCATCTCGATGGAAGCATATGGATACCCAAGTGATTTGCTTTTTCTTCGTTTACTATTAGATGGGCAGATGTTGATGAAATGGAAAAAAAGCAACAAATACAGACAGACTATGTCATGGCAGTCTGGTTTCGAATTGAATAATCAATTTGTCGGATGTGACAGTTGTCTTTTACGGGAGATGAATTATCTTCAGGCTGTGCAAAGAAATCAATGGTCACGCCATTGCCAAGCAATACCCTACCAACTGCCAGGCTCAGCGACTGGCACTAACGGCCTTGGAAGTGTGGATCGACATATTTGACGGAGCTGAGAGGAGGGTAACGCGACGAGATGGGCACGAAGCCAAGACGTTGTTGGAGCAGTGTGCGAGGCGCAGTACTTTGCGTACACTTACTTGATGCTGATCGGATCTGACAGGTTTAAACACTGGCCATATTGGCGCCATTACGAGACGAGCATCAACTCCACGAGCCCTCGGCGATGCTACCACGGACGGAGTTGTTGTTCTATTTGGCACAGTATTCCGCGCCGTTGGAAAACTGCTGCAGGTTATTTGGCGCTGCACCATCTCGCAACTTGCTGGCGCATCCATTTAGAAGGGTTGGCAAAACAAGGCTGAGATGATGGGGAATCGCGTCAAGTTGATTCGTCCATGTCCGAACAAAGGATCTCGGGGCTTTTTTCTCCTTTTGACCGGTGGCACTTGCACCAAAACCCCCCATGACGATACCCTGATGCTTTCAACAAATGAAACAAGACGCCTTGTCCTAGGGCTGAGCTTATTTCTTCTTCTGGGCTGGCGGCTGGGCTTGCATGGGAAGAAAAAAAGGCGACAACACGACAGACAATACACGCCCCGCCCCCCCCCCCCATCCTAACGTTGACAACTATTTGTCTGGTTACTTTATTACCCTTGAGAGAGCCAAGAGGTTTGGCGAGCCCAGAATGGTCTTGGCCCTTCTCCGTCTCGTCTAACGCCGATGTGGGTTGCTTTTTAACGCCTTAACACGCGGCGAACAATAGATTTTTCCCAGCATTTTGCCGGATTTACGCGTATCTCATGTCCAACCATTCCACTTTAATCCTCCCCCCCTGTTATATGAACTCTTTTTTTTTTCTCCCATCTTCGGAGTTGTAGTCTTGTCCGATAGCTATTCCCTCATGCCACCCCCCCTCCCCCTTTCCTCCCCTTCCGGGTGGCTCCTTCGGCAATTGGCCTTGACCAAGAGAGGACATGCAGGCCGCCCGTTCTTTTGGGCCCTTTATTAGCCCCCCTAGGCTACCGAATCAGCAGGTCGGAATATGCCGTCATATATTCGCGAACTTGATTTGAAAAAATTCCCGGAAATGCGGTTCAACCTTGTCTACCGGAAACAAAGAGGCGGGCAACTACCCAAAAGGAGCATTTATAACAGCATAGTGTGCCAAGTAACTTTATTCGGCATTTCTTTTCTAGAAATTCTGTTTGTTTCAGTTCCCCTTCTCTTTTCTTTGACACGCCAAAGCTCTGGACCGTCCGTCGGACCCAAGAATGAGCTGGTGACTGGGGCTTCAAAGAATGCCGCAAGCCCATTGAAAGTTTCCGCCGCTGCCGCTGGGGATGGGCGGTGCTGAAACTAGTGCGGCGACCGGCGACGCGCCCATCCTTCTGCTTTGCTCCAAGTCCCGAAGCTATGGATACCCAGCAGCCCGCTTGTAGGGCAGGGAAGAAACGAGCGACCAAAACCCCGCCGGCACTACTAATTAGCTGTGGCGGCCATGTCATACGATGGTAAGTGGTGCTCTATGCTGCGGCGTTTTGGTCATGCTGAGATATTGCCCGGTCTATTTGCTCATTATAGGCAGCAATGGCTCTCTCCTTAGGTATCAGTCACGAGATGACGACGGTATTGGAAACAAGATCTCTCTAGTCATTACTTAGTGCCAGCAGTGACGTCACTGCCGATTGGGTCAGTTCACTGGCCACGTCCTCGAGAACCATGGATGGTATTGTGACGGCTTGTCGTGTCGTGGGCATTCCGGGCCTAGGGCTGCTGCTAGATACTGCCGCTGCTGCTGCCGATTGGGGGCTGGAGGGTGCGAATCTTCGAACCAGAATGATGAATGGGATGAAACATGGGGTCAAAAATCTCTTGCGGGTTATAGGCTTTTTTTTGCGTTTCACTATCGGCTGTTCATGGACCACCCTGTAGTTCCGAACAAGCTCGGCAGCTTTTGCCTTGGCAGAAAATGATCTGCTCCGAGGGGCTACATAGAATGGGGCAAGCCTATCTGGTAAGGCGGACGGACGGCTCGTCAGATGCCAAGTTGCCAATTTGGCTTTTTTTTCGCCATGCAAAGGCTTATTTGAAGGAGCTGAAAAAGGCGAGTCAGCTTTCACCACAAGTTGCAGCGCTCAGCTGTTACTCGCGAGTCGTTCAGCGCTCGCCTTTATTCCGTATATGGCAAAGGAGAAGATAAATAAACTCTCCGGAGGCGTAAGCCCATCAAACTCTGATCTCTGCTGTCCTGGAAAGCCACCAGAAAAAGAAAAAAAAAAGGACATGTTGACTCTTCAGGGACAGAAGCCGGGGCATAATGAGAAAATGGAGCGCGAAGGGAATCACAGTCTACGATTAATAAGAGGTTGACATCGACCGTCCCGTGGCCGGTGCCGTTTCGGCCGGCAAGCCCGTTGGGCAAACTCCACCTGGATAAATGTTTTAAGAGGGGAAACAAAACGAACAAGCGAGCTTTCCAAAGCAAGCGAGTCTTGAAAAGGAAAGGAGGGGGGGCCCGGGTTGCACGGACAGCTGAGCTGGACTTGAGGAACATTCGCAAAAAAAAAAAAAACCTACGATTGAAAAGAGGCTCCGGCCCAGCCTTGGAGGCCCCAACTCTGGGCCTCTGGCGCATCACATACCCAATCCCGCTCGGCTCCGTCGTGGGATAGCACAGATAGATAGCACAACGTCCGGGTCCGCTCATTTCCAAATGAAGAAGGGTGTATATCGAGTCGAATGATCTCTATCATCTATGCCAGGCCTGCCTAGTGGAGAAGCCGCGAGGAAGAGGAACGGGAAACGCTAGATGTATTTTTTCCTCTTTGTCCCTCCCTTTCCGAGACTGAATTGATATGTGCCAGTAGCGATGTTCCGCTCAACCCGCAATACTTGTTTTTTTTTTGACAAAAGAAAACGAAGCCGGGAAGGACGGAGGAGGGGGGACCCTGTGTCTCTCTGCCCACGCCACCGGCGCGGCGCATGTCGGCGGAGCAGCGTCGTATTGTGAGCGGCGCACGCGGATCTTGGCAGGGCTCTTGGTTTTGGCGTGGTTGGGAGTCCCATCTCTCGCGCAGTGCGACTTGGGAACTCGGGCCAATGGATGTGACTTGTCGCATTTGCAGATCGGTATGGTTTTTTTTTTCTTTTTTTCTTTGGTTGGTTGTGTATATGGATGGGTGCTTGTCGCCATCGATAGAAGTCGCAGAAACAAACGCGGCGGCGCGCCCATCTATCTCCATTACGAGAGAGGACAAGAACTTTGGGGGGGCCAAGGGGGGAGGGAGGTGTCCGTCGCTTAATGCCCGTCGCTCAGTGTAAGCCTTGAAATAGTCTTTTTGGTCATTTAGCATGACTTTGAGAGAACGCGCCGTCCTGCATGGCTTCATTCAGCCACTGGCATATAGAATTTTGCTGTTGGTGGCGCTCAGCCCTGAGCAACAGTGTTGGAATGGAACAAAACAGGGCTGCTAGGGTTGGGGTCTACAAGTGAGCAAAGATGACAAACCTTTGCGGGGCCATCAATGCATCGCGCAAGCTGAGAAGCATAACTATATGTAAGGTAGGTAGGTGCCCGAGAAAGGATCTATCCAGGCGGAAAAGTGCAAGGACGCGCTGAGTCTACCGGCCGCGGGTGCGCCGGGTTGGCAGATGGCAATCGCTGGCATCCCACGGAACAAGTAAGTGCTCGTGCAGGTGGCGTCGTGGTCTGTGTGGCAATCCCGATGCCCTCTGTAAAGCATTGCGCTCTACCGTTATAATACATCTTTGATAGTCTCTTTTCGTATGCGCTTTGTTCTGCCGTAAGCTGGCTGGGGCCGGACTCAAAAGGCCGAGCCAATGCTGAGTTTTCGGTGTGAATCGAAGTTCGGCCATCATTTCGAACGCTCGTTTATTGGGAAAAAAAGCAAAGCATGGAATAACTCTTTGCTCACTGTATTGTCGTGTCTTCTTCAAACGTTTGGCTGGCGACGTCTTACACACTGCCTGAGCAAACGTCCGCCTTTGTAGTGTCCAAGGTTATACAGAAACTTTCAGAGAACTTTACACTTCTTGAAAACAATAATGCGTCTAGATTTACAATATTCAGTGGTGTACACGAAAGGCTGATGTGTGCTGCCTCGATCGAGCGGAATGTCATCACAACTTCTGGTGCTATGTATGGGACGCCTTGCAAGACTTTTGACTACACACCTCTGCATCTGCCCACCCCCTCCTTGTAATATCTTGACACGCGCCGAAACATGGAAGGTGAATAGAAGTTTTCTCTTTTGTGGAACAGTCTGACAGTTGGGCTGGCATGCCATGCGTTGCGATGACCGATTGCCAGCCGGTGGCGGCACCAAAAGCCTCGTCTTTTGATTGTTCAGCCCTTTACTGCGAGCCAAGCCACGAGGCCCGTGGGAGGACCAGGGTAGCTTTTTGTCTTATACTCTGCAGCTGATCATCTGCCACCATACAGGTTGGTCAGAAAATCTTTGCAGATGAGTTGACGACTTCCGGATCCATTGCATTGAACGATTGGATCTTTCGTCTACTACCACACCTCCATTACCACACCTCTTCGAATCCCCGATATTGGTTCGTTCGGCTTATTCACATTTAATTTTCCGATGTATGTACTTCATAAACGGGATTCGGCATTCCGATACCCAGCATCTTTCGACTTACACCGGCTCCTTACCGGCAAGGACTACTTTGACACCAAGTTTGATAAGGCTCTTCACCTTTTGCATGCACATTATTACGAAATATAAATGAGGGAAATCCAATTACGAGATTCTATAGCGTATTATGGCGGCGTTGCTTTTGCAAATGAAAAGAAGCTACACGTGATTCATTCATGCTTCGAAACGCAAGGCAATCGCATAGGGAAAAAACCTCAATGCCGCATATACCTATTTTCGGCCACTTCTATCCTCGGAAAAACTTTATTGAATAATCTGCACCCTAGTTAATCAGCTCAAGTCTAGCACTTCGTCGAAATGCATACTCATGCGAGGCGTACGCCAGGGGGAACGGCGCTGCTCGAAAAAGGAAAAGCCCGTATCATGTCGCATTCTCGTGTACACACCCCCTCCGTCATCCTCTTGTTCGTTTTCGACAATTGATCAATAAAGGACCCCTTTTTCTTGGCTCTTGTCGCTGAGATTGCAAAGTCTCATAGCTGACTTTTGATCTGTCGCGAGCCCGAGCGGGGTTGAGCCTCACAGCCTGATGCTCTGGGCGTGCTTTATCCAGTGGTCAGCGTGAGCAGCAATAGCGCTTCCCACTTGCGTGTGTAGTCGGGCTTGTATGCATGCAGCCGGTCATGCGCCGTTGCGAGGTCGATGAGTTATCGACGGAGAAATTGTCAGCCCTAGTGAGATGGTGGCGCTTTTCTGTACGTCTCCTCGGAGCCATTTGTGAGCATGGCTGCGAGACAGCTGTACAAGCCATTGGCCGACGAACAAAAGGACTGTTTAGTGATGGGATCTGGTGATTCTTGAGTTTCACTGCTACAGTAGGCAATAATATTGCCATACTTACTCTACTGCAGGGTTGCCATCAAGGAGAAAGGCAGCAATGGCCTCGTTCTCCTCTACTACACTTGAAACGTGATGTTTATATGATAAGAATAACCAGAATTGTTTAAATATACTCTTTAACCCCGAGCATAGGCTCTTGGTCATATTTGTGTTGATCTATTCTCAAAAATGATGGGGTTTTCACCCCAGCATATAAAACTGTGTTCGCGTTTTTAATGCCCAGGCGTTTCATGACAAATCTATCCTCAATACATACATCATTAATTACTATAATGAATCTTCCCCCTCGACAAATGCTTGAAACACTGTTTTGATACCCGTTGATAGATACTCACTGCTACAACATCAAGATTTCTGATGGTTCTGCAGGAGCAGGGCCAAATGTAGTAGCAGGACTATATCCGTCTCAGCATTTCAAGCTAAGAGCTTTCAAGAGGCTCTAGAAAATTAATGATGATGAGTTCCATAGCTCTTTCTATCTTCCGCGATAAATCTTTGCTTCTGAATGGCATCTGGATACACAGTTCCGTGGCTGCTCATGGTGAGCGTTCGCTGGTTGTCGTCAAAAGAGGACCAACAAACGGCTTCTCACCTTGGTGAATAATACCCACCGCCTAAATCAGATCAGTCTATACTAGTTTGTAACAAGCCTTTTTCACAGATAATGAATGATGGTTCTCAAGCTCCAACTCCGCACTGGTCGAACTTGACCTCCATGTTCCGGTCTTTAGGGTGACTGTGACGATGTCACCGAAGCTGTACTGTGCGAGCTGGAGGATTGTGATATATGGTCAGAACCGTTGAGCAGACTCAAAGTGGTCTTCTTATGATGTTCTTCAGCTTGGCTACCTTTCAGAACAATGGCGGACCGAGACGGGAGTACCGGAACAGTCAACGGACGGGACGAAAACCGGTGCGTTGAAAAGTCAAGGAATAGGTCATCTCGTCCTTCATAGTTTATACCTCAAGTATACACCCTTACATGCAGAAATATACTGTGAAATAATAATCGTCTAGGTCTGAATTCCGTCGCCGACTTGGACGTTGATCGCTGCCTCGCAATAGCCGCGATAATATCGGCATATTGGCGCCGCTGATGTACGGAGAGTCAAGATGATATATCACGTCAACTTTTTGGGGTGCATCTGCATATTTGATAAGAGTTTTCGCAGTCAATCGGGAATATATGTGTACGAGTGTAGACGCATCGTGACCAATTGACTTGCATTCAGATCTTTGACCAGAGCTGCTTAAGCACCAGACCGATAAATGACCTCTTGATCAGGGCCACGGACTCTCCGGTCTTCTACACTCGCGCCACAATCTGATCCACAGTGGTGAGTCGAAAACCAGTGGTACGATAGAGAAAGATTCGTGATTCGCCACTTGCTCTGGGGCTCACAGCGGAGTGCTGATGAAAGAACCATTTTAGTTGCGATTTGCATTAGAGTCTAATATGCGCTTGTATTCACTTTTGCATGAAGCTGACATTCGAAAAAGCCCTGTAATATAGTTATTGGCTCTTTGACTACTCTATTGTGGTTTTCGACGTCTCATTCATCATTTGCTGAACTTCGTCGTCTGCGAACGGGTCGCGCTCATAGCTTAGCAAATCAGTTGCCAACGGATGACAGTCACAATCTCATTTCTTACTATTTGGTATAATCCTTCTCTGTTGATTTCATGTACTGGACTTGCTCCCCTGACATCTCTGATATAACCAACGACGAGTTGCTCCCTCATCGTTGTCAATCACACCTTGTGGCTGAAGTACCTGACAAGCAAAAGAAAACTTGTGGCCAAGGAGGCATAAGGCGCAGACTCCCCTGAATAAAGTACCACACTAGATATTTTACAATTGATAGCACAATCATGCTCGATAGTGCAATCACCATCGATGTTCTGGGTTCTGACTCTCAAGTAGAGCAACGCCTCTGCCAGCATCCATCGCCACTCCCTTCCACGCAGATATGGGGTATCAGCCAAGTTGACAAGCAGGATCTCCATCTCTAAAACCACTTAGAAAGGGCAACGAGTAATGCTACAGGTGCTAGGTCGAATAGGAGTGCAGTTCCGGTCAGCAGGGCAGCCGAGCTCTGGCGTTCCGTTGCAACAGCAGCATTCTGCTAGTGTAGGAATCTTGCGCGCCTCAAGAGGAGATGAGATAGCGAGTGTGGCAAAAGTTATAATAAGAAAATTTCGAATTTGCATTTTGATCGATGGCAAGATGTGTGGTGCGGGAAATGGAGATGAAGATGGTTGGTAGGTTGAGGCAAAAGGACAGAGCAGCAGCTTTATATAGGTACGACAGCGTTTCCCTTGAGCATCAGAACTACCAGCTACTACCATCAGTCTAGAAACAGACTCTGACGATCTACTGAGACTATTCTCAATACAGGCAAGAAACTGAAGCCTCCGTTGTGACCCCGCGATGCCCCCGGGCGACACCACGGCACTTTCTTAGGGTGCTGCTTGACAGCCATGATCCATTCGAGCCAAGTCATAATCTCTTCCCCTCGTATGCACTCGTCAATTGGCCACGCATAGCTCTTCGTCCTCTCATGTACAGTTCAGTATTTCGCCGAGGTCAGCCAAGCAAAGAAACGAGCGCCACGTATCTGCACCGCATTGTCGAAAGGGTTGAAAGCAAATAAATATCGAGGCCTACCATACTATCTCATGGCTCTCTACCACTAGTTCTTGGCAATGGATTAAAACTGATCCCTTTGCACTGCCTCGACTCCGCCGCTGACAGACCTCTTGGCAGTCAGCTTACAGGTGCCCAGGCTTCGTGCATCCGTCCCAACATGTCCCAACAAGGAAGGCATCACACAATTAAAGGACCAATCTTCTCTTGTATGTATATTAAATGCGGCGATCTTATCTGCGGAGCGCTCTGAGTTATTAATTTGTGGACATGGCACCTGCTTCTTACGGTTCTCGCCGATATCATGTAGGAATCTTGGCTACGCACTAGGTCTTGCTGCACCACCAAGCAAAACCTGATCCAATAAAAAAATAAGCTTATCGATCGAGAAAACTCATCAGGCTACTATGGCTTTCTATGTTGATTCGATCTCTAATCGTCAAGATGAGATTGGGTAGGACTGTGGCCGTGGGGCGACAGCTCATGACAAAGAACAACAGTAGAAGACATCCAAAGTTGTCTAAAACGCAACTCATGACAATATAACAGCTTTTGACTATATTTTCGTTCACGACGGCCATACTCCTCGGCCGCATATTCCTTCATTCTTCTACTGGTGGGAGGAGGGAAATCGCGGACGGGGGAGGTTTTTTGGCTGGCCGGAGCGGCTGAGGACTATTTCGGCGCCGGCGCCGGCATTGACTGGCGTACCGCAAGTCAGACAAAATTTGCTGCCTGCCATGTTATGGTACCTGCTATGGTATTATACCTACCTGTGAGATTTTGTATATATAGATTTTACTTTTTCCGAATATGCTCTTGATGTCACTTATCAGTCACGAAACTTGTCCAGGGAACTCTCATCAGCTCCGTATTTACACTGTTCATTGGAAGGGCTTCATCATCAGCACACCAACAACGTGCTCGAATCGCTGTGGCATGGCAGCAATAGGATGCCTTCAAATAGCTAAAATGAATAATGTCTTTTTCTTTTTGCGCGCACAACCACATCAGCCAATCTGTGTATATGCCAAGTTGTGATGCTGCACGTGATATAGCACGTGATCTCAAATCGATCATCTTGAACTAGCATGAAGCGCAAGGAGCTTCTTGCGAAAATCGGACGACGAGGTACAATTCTCATACCTTGCCCATTGCGAAGCCCGAATACGACAGTACAGGAGCTTCACGCTCTCGCTCTCTTTAATCGGGATTCGACCGCCTATAATGCCGCAAAAACCCATCCGTCTGCCGCCTCTCGAGGTTCTGCGCGTCAAAAACCCCAAGCGCAATCCCAAGAACCCCTGCACCATTGTCATGTCCAGTGTTCTCGGTACGTTTGCTTGGTCACCTCGGCGCTCTCCCAATCCCGCGCCATATCCCTGGCCTCTTCCTAATCAACTACTATTCGCAATTTTTGCGTGCGTGTCTGTCTTTCTCTTTTTACTGACAGTGGTCATTTCATAGCTTGCTGGGCCTCGGCCGGATACAATGCCGCCGGATGCGCCGCCATCGAGACACAGCTACGCCAGTGCATGGACGGCCCCAAGCCGCCGCCCGCGCCGCCCAACACCATCAACCACCACATGGGCCGCCTGGGCAAGTACATTACCTACGACGGAAAGCCGACGTAACGTTGCCGGAGAAAGGAAGCTTCTCCCTATGAAGGAGATTGAGGCCCGGCCACGAAGACGGGCAACGACCATCTACAAGTCGAAACTTTGTTCTCTCCACCATGCAAGAGGCGTATGCTTCGGGGCTGTCAAGGCAGAGATTTGTGACGGCAAATACCGTTTTGACCCATGCAACGACTACCAAAAGGAAAAGCTGGTTGGGAGGCGTATGCAGAGGCGTCAGTAGATCGATGAGCAAAATATCGGCGTTTGTTGGAACTTAAAAGGGATGCCGGAGATAAGCATCATGTACAAAACTTACAGCAGAGGAGGAAATGGCATGGACCAAAATATACCATAGTCTAGCAAGTCTTGACAGCGTTCTATCATGTAGAAAACTTTCTGTACAATAACAAAAATCTACACCCTTGTCTTCTGAGAATGTCAACTAGCCAGCTAATCACTATATTCCAGGCGCACATGCACAAAGCAAAAATCACGATGCAAACTCATAGACGACATGTTGAAGAGCGTTGTTTGAATTCAGCTTCCTTGCATCCATGTCAAAGCTGCCAAGACATGCAGACCACCAGCGGTATCAACCAAAAAAATCTAGCTGCGTCAAAAGAAAAAAAAAAGAGGAAAGAAGAGAACAAAAAAGACTGTCTATCCAGCATTTGAATATGAAATCGCGCCCCTTCTTTCTTACTGGTGTATCCTTGTCCAGCATCTTGGACCACCAGCCCGCGGGTGACCACAAAGCATCTAGATTGCGTTTTCTTCTCCATGTTCGCCAAAGCAAACACGGTGCCTGCGGTGCTGACATGCGTAGAAATAAAAAAAAGAAACGGACCACGAAGTCAAAAGAAACCACGATGCAAATTCTTCATGGGCGAAAAGGTAAGAAGAAAACGAACAGGTGGCAAGAGCGATAAAAGAGGAAATGCACCCATCGCCGTACCCACGCCTGAAATAACTGTGGTCGCTTGCGCCGAAATGTATCCCATATGTGAAAAAGAAAGAAGTTAACGAATGTGGTAAGTAGGATAATGCTCGGAATGCCAAAGGGCCCAAACAATGTGCAAAATCTGAACATAAGAACTGTAAGAGAAGCTTGTATGTGTTGGGGAGGGGGGTCTAGTGTGAACAGGCCAATGAAAGGCCTGGCTATAGTCGAGTTTGTTTGTCGATTTTCAAAATGATCGTTCGTGTGCTGACCAATGCGACGATGTATATATTCGCATTGTTCATTCTAGGAAACGTCACCCACGCAAAACAGTTCAATCTCCCCGACGCCGCCAGAGTACATGTTGCGCACACCTTCACGCCATTCCATAAAGGCGATTTGAATGTCGTCGTCACTTTCAATGGTGACAAAGTCGCCATCCTCGTCGCGGTAGCGTAGCTTCAAATTTCCCTTGCCAATGCTGCTGTTCATGAAGCGTGCAAGCTTTGCGTCGATGCGATCAATCAAAGATTGGTAGCTAATGTTAAAGGCTACAACGAGCGTGATATAGTTGCCGCTGTCGCAATTGACGCGAACCTTGAGCTGTGTCGGCAAAGGCATGTCGCTGGAAAAAGAGTCACTGGAGGGCGGCTCAAGTGGTGCAGTCGGCAGGGCGGGGGAGCCATTTCGCGAGTTGGCAGCCACAGGATCGACGCGCAACATCGCCGAGCCCTGGCTGCTCGGGGTGTTTTGGCGCGAGTATATGGGCTGGACTGGAAAGTGTGACATGGTGCCACCCAGACTACCGGAATGTTTGTGCATGGGCTGTCTTGCGGCACCGGGGCTGCTGCTGTTCGTTCGTATGGGTAGGTCGTTTCGCGGAGAACCGTTCTGCGATCGCGCGATTTGACTGTCGTGCAGGTGCTGAGGAATGCCAGGCACTGCTGGAATGTTACCCTGGCTAGGTTGTCGCTGTCGCGGAAGACCGGGAATACCGGCATCGGGGGTGCTATAGGAGCGACTGCGTTGCTGCTGAGCCGAGCCAGAGGTTGATGCCATGACTGGTAGTGATGGACCGCGGGGAGGCTTGTTGTAGGATGAGGGAGGCCCATCCCGAGACGGGGCGCGAGGCATCGCAGGCGCTGTGTACCGGGCATTCTCATCCCAACCGGAGCCGGAGGAACCGCCATTTTTATTAGGGAAGTGGTATAGCGAACCTGGGAAGACACCGCTTGTGGTGCTGGCGCGAGAAGAGACAGGCGAGTCGGCAACAGGTGAGAAGTAGGAGTCGCCACCTCGATTACCGGGAGACGGCGCGCCGTTGCTTCCTGTTTGAAGGCTGAGGGGCGCAGGAGGCAGTGGCAACGGGAATCTAGGCGGCGGTGCCCTGGCAATAGAGGCCAGAGACTGTGTGCTATCTCCGGTCATGGATCGTTGACGGACATTTGAGCTGGATGATGTGCGAGGCATAGATGAGCCTGGTGGTATCGGAAACTGTGCAGGTGCCGTGGCAGGGCCATATTCGTCTTCCTCATCCTCATCTTGCTGAAGGTAAGGGTTTGCGATGCCATGATCTCGCGTCCAGGCAAAGTCTGGAGCCGCAGACTCGCTGCTCACCGACAAACGCGGGGCATTCATCTTCCGCTGTGTCTCGAGACCGTCGGCCCACGTCTTCATCATGTCCTCGTGCACGAACTTGATGGTAAAGTTTTCCACACCAGGGTCGCCCTTCCACCAGATTTGAACAGAGTGAGAGCCAGGCTTGGAAAGAGACACGACATCTGTCACGTTAGTCATGAAAATTCTGCCTTTTAGCTGTAGCTTGGCATTCTTGTTCTTAATCTTGGGGCCCTGGGAGCGAGTCTTTTCTTTCTTGTCCTTGCTCTTGGTGCCAGAAACCTCCTTGCAGCATAGCAAGATGTTTTCGAAGAGGTAGATCTCATAATCCTTCTCTTGTTCGGTCTTGCCAGTTATGACGCCGTAAATGCCATGCAGAAGTAGGCGCCCGAATTGCTCCACCTTATGGGATTTCCAGTCGTCAACTCTGACCATGAGATCGTCCAGGGCTTCGTCGAGCAGGGCGCGGTTCACAGCATCATTGGCCTTGTGAACGACTCGTTGCGCGGCCTCGTAGCCTGTTTGAAGATCTTGCTTGACTTGTTCATCTTCCGTCTTTTTGCAGAGGTCCTTGAGGAGCAGAGGATACTTGCCAAGACGCTGCATTGGCTTAAGCAAGAAGCCACCCAAAGTATTGAAATCGGCCGCGACAGGGTGTTCTGATAGTTGGATCTTGTCAAAAACCAGATTCGCAATTTGGCCCGCTTTTCGTTGGTTGGCAATGAAGGGTTGGTAAATGTCGAAGGCGCCTTCGTAGAAGCAGAATGGTGCACCCCACCGCTGCTGTTCCTTAGGCATGGAATTGGTGGTTTCCACGCGAATGAGAAATCGTCGTTGAAAATCGAGAATAGCGTTGATGTTTAGGAAAATTTGATGCACAATATCGCCGGGGACGTCACCTTTCTGCTCTAATCTCTTCTTGAGATCATGCAAGTTTTCCAAATCTTGGACATATTTACGCTCGGTATCGACAAGTTCCTTTACAATGTGATCCCTGTAGCTCATATGTGTGCCAGCAACAGGCGCAGTCGACTCTTGCTCGGGTACTAATTGCGGTTGCAGCAAGTGTCCGCTTTGTTCAGCAAGGTCGAGCACACAGTTGACAACTTGCGTTACCTGCAGAGGGTTAGCAAACGTGAGAGGGGACGTACGAGCGCCACGAACCTTGACAAAGCCACTTGTGTCGTTTCCCATCAAGTCGGTAATGACAAAGGTATCAGCAGGAGGCAATTGCAGCTCCTTGAGGCAGGCTTGAACAAATTTGAAAATGGCAATCTTTGACTTCTTGGCCTCGGAGGCATTTGGGTCCTCAACCTTCAGGGGCTCGCCCTGCAGACAGTTGTAGATGATGAGGAGAGGGTGTCCGGAACGGAAGAGGTTCCATAGTGAGTCGACGGGTTCATCGGGATCTAGCTGGTCGAGAAAAGGCTGGAAGTCGGGGACCTGGGCCAGACGCTGTTTGAGAGCTACGCAAATTTGGTAGAGAGATCGAGAGGCATCGGCCTTTTGGTTGATGATGTTTGTGGTGGCGATGACGGGGCCGCCATTTTGAGGGACAATAGTAGTGTTGCTGTTGAGGGAGCTGAGAGAAGCAGAGGAACCTGCTAGGGTGGCGGCGCTGGACAGCTGGCTGCTTCGAGGGGCGCTCTTCATCTTGGTCAAGCCTCCGACGCCGTTGGTGGTTTGCAGGGCCGGAGCTGTGTTGGTTCTCATCAGAATAGCATGTGCCATATCCTAAGGGCCCATTCGCCGCGCGTGCTGGAAAGCACGTTGCGAAGAAGTCAGGCAGGCGTTGGAAGCGGACGATGCCTGGTGCGGGCGCCTGGCGGCTGCGATCGCGACAGGCGGTTTGGTCGGTCTGGCTCGTACAGAGCGCGGTGGATTGTAAAAGCGGCGTAGGTGCGGAGCGAGGTCGAGAAGTAAATGCGGCAGAGGCAGTACCCTTTTGTATATAGGATAACTCGGGAAGACGGCGTGATGCAGGAGCAGGATACCGCCGTGTGCGTCGGTCGAGCAACTGGTGCAAGGAGCCGGCGGGGTGCGTCAGTGCAATGCTGACACGCCGAGTCAGCTGGTAAGGCAGTGATGCGAATGTGTGTAGCCGCGATGATGTCTCCAACTCGGTGTCGATGAGGAGAGGGGCGTGCCGCGGAAAGGAGTTGCGACAGAGGATAGGAGCCGAGCGTAGGCCAGCAAAGTGGAAGAGGTCGAGGATGAGATGGTAATGTTGGAGCGGCGGCGGCGTGCAGGTGATTTGGGGGGGAAGACAAGGAAGAGCAGCAATTGGCGGTCTCCAGTTTGCAAAGTGACAGGGGGTAAGGGGGGTAATGTACCTTGGTGCCGACTGGCCAACCTAGTTACTTGTCTAAATAGGGTACTCAATCTGAACCGCCCGCAACAGTGCAGCCCCTTTGCGGTGCTTTCTTTATTTCTACGGGGCACTGTTAGAAGTGGAATCTGGCGCATCTATTCAAATAGTTGCGTCTAGTAAATACAATTAGTGTGTTGAAGCAGGCAATGCAGCAATGCAGATGGTGTTCCTCCATTCCTCGGTAGGTACAAAGTCGACAGTGCAGTAGCAGTAGATGTTAGCGGATACCTTGCTTATCGGTGCAAGGGACCAGCAACAGCAAGTACCAAGGTACCAAGGGCGGTTTCCACCTCGCAGCGTCACCCCCTAACTCCCTAACTGAATAAATGCTGGTCCTTGCTGCTTGGATACCTTCAGGATGGCACGTGGACCCGGCAGAATGCGCAGGAAACAAACAAGCAAGCAACTCTAGTCGTCCGAAACATGAGATGCCGGGGTTCTGCTTCTCGAAACCGAATAGAGGCCACAACGGGGTTTAGCAACGATGGACGGTGGTTAAACCGCCGTAGAGGAGCGAGGACGAAACAACGGCCTAACTCATTCAGTAGGTATATAGGTGCAGGAGGGCGAGGAAGGGGTTTTAGGGGTCTAACCAACCAAGTTGTACTGGTACCGACCTAACTATGATGATGATGGTGGCCTTAACTAGGTGCCTACAACAACAAAAGTGTAACTAGATTAGCAAAGGCATGTTAGACTTGCCAGTGATTCGGAGTGTATCATTGCCAGAACATGTGTGATTATTAGCTGTCGCAACTTTTCAGGAATTTGCTGGCGTGTTATCTTTGTACCCTTACCTAACGATGCATCCACACCAACGGATACATGTATCGCAACTTCTGGATCTCGCCACTGTAAAAGACTGCGTTGCGGGGCATGCAGGGCGGAGCGTTGGTTGCAGATGTACCACCAGTACTTCACTCTACTGTTGCAAGTAAGAAACTGCGTCGGCAGAACTGTTGCCATACTGTCGGCCGCTTTGTAGAGGTAGGCAGGCGGTGCATATTCCAGCAGCGAGGTAACAGACGGTTACGGATAGCTCAAAAACAACGTAAATAGTAACGCCGCCTGGTCGGCAGAGCTCTCTAAACTCCCAACCGTTCAAACCCTCAAATCGCGTGCCGCCTTCAAGCCGTGCCGGTTTCATGGGAGTGAGGCGGGCCACACAAATCTGCGACCTTTTGACATGCACTAGGCTTCGGTGGTAGGGTACCGTCGAGCGCTCAAAGCCTGGGCTCAAGCTGGAGTAGAGTAGGTACAGAATACAGCATCGAAAAGGAGGGGGCCAAGGGTGGCGCTTTTTGCACTGTTTTTTTCGGACCATTTGTACTTGATCCAACCAGGGCCCTTGGGCCCCCACCAACAAATTACTGTTCAAGCCTTGAAGCCCGGCTGGATTTTTCTTATGGGAGCACAGCAGTTGGCGAGACCATGCGGGTCGCCTGTACAACGACTCACCAACCTCTGAAGCACTGACCTGCGGCTTCCAGCCACCTTGAACTCAAAGTAATGATGCACTACCTACGGCAAGCAACAGGCCTGCTCCGTACCGAGATCAGACTCATTACCTACACCGCTCGCGCTCGGCGATCTGTGTTCCCAATTATCAGAGTAAAAAAAGAAATTTGACAGCCTATTTCCTCGTGGCGACTTTCTTTTTTTTTACCCACCTTGGCAAGACCAGAGAAATCCTCCCTGCGTCTTATAGAATCATAGCTCAACGACGCCAAGTCATGCGTCAGTCGCCCATTACTCATGGCACTCATGACCAAGGTCTACAAACGCACAAACGCCAAAGCCACCAGCTGTGTGCATAATATGTAAAGGCCAACGCGAGTTTTGCGGGGAGGTGACGTAGATCGCTCATATATGTCCCTTTCAATCGCATACTTTGCTCTAGTATTTCGCTCTATCAAGCACATATTAAGCACGCCCCTCCGCAAGCCCATTTACCTCCTGACCACGGACCACGGTGCACAAGCAGGCAGTCTTAGCACGCTGATTGGCACATATATATTCGTCCGCTTGGCCTATCCGGCCCAATTGATTGAGTTCTGATAATCCGTCACTGGCCTCCTGTTTGCCACCGCTACGATTTGATGCTACCCGGGAATATCATCTCATATCGTAGCGTGCCTCTTTAACACCCGGCGGCGGCCTGCATCCAATCATGCACATAGTCCAGCGATTGGTGTCGTGCTCACCTGAAGCTGAGTCTGGGATCACTGATTTGTCGACGTCATGGCTGGCTGAAAGCGCTGGCTGTTGTGTTTGTGAGGGTATCGCAGCGCCAGCTGAAATGCGCATCAGGGCCCTAGAATGGATGCTGGCCGTGCTTAGATAGCTACAGTGTATCACCCACCAGCTCTCGCCAACCAACTACTTTGTGCGTGCCGTGGCATGATGTGAATCTGAACAGGTCTCTCCCTTCTCTGTCACAAACATATGCTGTTGCTGCATTTTCAAACGAGTTGGATCGTGGAATCATGGCGCAATAATAGTCTACACCCAGGATGTTTCTGCCCCAGACGGAGAAACAATTTTTGTTTTGCAGCGGCCAACAATCAAATCATAGAACATCTTCAAAATTACGGTTCTGTGGTCAACCGTAAATTGAATTTGAAACGCGATGCCAGCTTTGGCTCGCATGCCAGTGACAAATATTTGCTGGAGCAGATGGGGTGAAGCTGCTGCAAAGGCATCTGCTGCTATACATGTTTGAGAACGTACTCCGTAGACATGTAACTTTTAGCCAGTTGACTTCGACTTGCTTTGGAATCAATTCACTCCATGCCAAAATTGTACCACTCGTACCTAGGCTAAGCTAGAACGTCCACCTGTCGCGAGATCTTGGAGGTTGCGATAACGGCCACTAACAAACCCTGCACTCGATCGTTTAAAATGATGCTTTTGGCGTTGTTTAGTTGCCGACCTAGTGAGGGTTACCCCTGCAACGCCCACCTGCAGCGCCCGCAAATCCTCTGCAGGGTAGCCTAACCCAAAGCGCCAGCCTCCAGATTGAGTTCTTGTGACCTAACCGTACAGTACGGTTGCAAGCTGCCAGCAGTCAACCCTCTGGATACGGTAGCTAGGTACTGAGTTCTCATTCGCGCAAAAAAAAGTCACTTCGGGGCTCGAGAAAGGAACAGTTCTATGCACCTATGTCATTTCCAGTATTTCTTTCGAGGCTATTAAATATTTTCTAGATGAGACGCAGAGGGGTGTGGATGACTGCTTTGCCCCGCCACCCGCCGAACGGGCTACGGCGCCATCCCACTGTCGTCTGTCGCCTGCAAGCAAACAAAACTTGCGGAATTTTGCCGCCAAATCGCCTTTACCCCAGCCTGATACGGAGTCCTGATCTAGCCTCACAACAATCAACCCGTCATCCACACGGGCCACTACTCTTCTCCCACACCCCAACTTTGCTGACTGCTCCGCGCTGTCGATGCCATCACGGTTCATACCAACGGCTTGTGGTCATTCTTCTTCTCACATTCTTTGACCCAGTCAGCCTGCTCGATTCCAAGGCTGCCTTTTGCTTGCTGTTTTGTCTTGTCTCCCTTGCCACGCGATCGGCCGCCGCCGCCACCCCACGTCGGGTTGCCATTGCTGTGCAACCTTCCCGAGTCGCTGACTTGCAGTCGGATACCGTCCTACAACTCACCAGAAACTCACCTATCCGTCTGGTCTTGGTCGCCTCGGTTGCCATGGATCCGTTCTCCCCCGTTCACCAGCCTGACGAAGGCTACTCGGAAGACCCTCTGATATCCCAGGACAGCTCTGCTCTGCCTGCCTCCCTCTCCAGCTTCCAGTCGCCTTCCGACCTCGCCATGTGGATGGCACGAAATACGTCCATGTTTCCCACATCCGTTAAAGCCGGTATGCCGCTTCCTGCCTTGTCGCAAAAGCTGCTACCCTGCCCATACACTAACGGCAACAGAACTCACCATGGCTTTGCTAGAACAGCTCCCGACCTCGACCATAGCTGGTATTGTTCAGCGTCTACGCCCGCGACTCTACATTGACTTCATTAATCATCTTCCCGCCGAGATTTGTTTGAAAATCCTGTCGTATCTCGACCCCGTATCCCTCGTCAGCGTTTTGCAGACATGCCGAGCCTGGTATGATTTAGCTCTGGATAGGAAGCTCTGGGAACACCTTTATCACCTTGAGGGCTGGAAAGTCCTGCATAAAGAAATAGAAGCGGAAGAAAAACGAATCAACGAAAACATCAACAATTCCATCAGCCAGATGCAGTCTGCTGACGGACCTGTCAACAAGGTCCGCGCCATCATGAGCGATGATGACGAAGATTTGGAAATGGTGGATAGCGAACGCATACAAGTTCACAAGGATAGCATCCCTGCACAGAGCCTTTTCGGATCGCCCACCACCTCTTTCTCTTCCAGTCGTCGAGCTATCACACCCTTAGGCGACATTGACATGTCCAATTACTTTTCCAAAGGAAAAAGTGTAGACAGAAGCTTTGCGTCCAATGATGTTCGAGCAAAGCGAAAGGCTCCCGATAGCAGTCCCGGCCCAGCTATTCCGCCCGTCATGGAGCAAGATTCCACCGCTGTCTTGCGGTCGAAGCTATGGACTTGGGACTCTTCCAGCTCCAAGCATCGTCTTAACTGGAAGTACTTGTACAGCATGCGACGACGCTTAGAGTCCAACTGGGACCTGGGAAAGTTTTCAACATTTATGCTCCCTCACCCGGACTACCCCGAAGAGGGCCACCAGGAGTGCGTGTACACTATCCAGTTTGATTCGCGATACCTCGTCAGTGGCAGTCGAGACCGCAGTATGCGAGTCTGGGACGTGCAGACCGGCAGACTTGCCAGGCCGCCACTCGTCGGGCACCATGGCTCTGTACTTTGCCTGCAGTTTGATGCAGACCCGGAAGAGGATCTGATTGTGTCGGGCAGCAGCGACTCCAATGTCTTCATATGGAAGTTTTCCACTGGAGAGTTGGTGCAAAGAATAACCAAAGCGCACAGGGAATCTGTTCTCAATGTTCGATTCGACAAGAGGATTCTGGTAACATCATCCAAAGACAAGACGATCAAAATCTTCAACCGAAGGCCGCTACGCTATGGCGACCTCGGGTACGAACCTGTTAGCTCGGTCGCTCAAACCGTCAAGCTCTACGGATACGAACCTGACCTCGCACAAGAGCTGCCTATCAAGCCTGAATACACCATGATCGGACGGTTGGATGGACATAGTGCTGCAGTCAACGCAATTCAAGTCAAGGGCAGGACCATCGTTTCTGTTTCCGGTGACAGGTCTATCAAAGTTTGGGACTGGCCAGATCAAGTCTGTAAGCAAACGATTCCCGCACATGATAAAGGCATTGCCTGTGTCGAGTTCGACGAAAGACGCATCGTGAGTGGTAGTAGTGACTACGAAGTCTGCATATTCGACGCACCGACAGGTCTCAAAGTTGCCTCCCTTCGAGGACACGCCAATCTAGTCAGAACAGTCCAGGCTGGTTTTGGTGACTTGCCATATAGCAAAATCGAAGACGAAGCTGAGGCACGGACCGTGGAAGCCGAATACTTGAAGGCAGTTGAGGCTGGGGAACTGGGTTGCGAGGCTGATCGGCGCGCGGCTCGTCGAAGTCGCCGTGCCACCGCTGGTAGCTCCAAACCTGAAGACGTTCAAGTCTTTGGTGCCAAGGTGCCTCCAGGAGGCGGTGGTGGCCGCAAGTACGGCCGCATTGTGTCAGGCTCCTACGATCAGAGCATCATTATCTGGCGACGAGACAAAGAAGGAGTTTGGAGGCCTGCACACCACCTGCGACAAGAAGAAGCGGCAGAACTCGCTCAGAGCCAACACGTCCAAGGCACGTCCGCCATGCAGGTTGCTATGCGAGCTGCGCCGGCAAACCTTCCAAGTCATGGTGCAGCGGCCGTTGTTCACCAAGGCATAGCCCAACCGCCCCAACAACCGCCTGAATTTACCTCTGGCAACCAGCGCGTTGCGGGCCTCTACATGGCCTATATCGACCAAGTCGTTCCTGCAGGCGTTGCTGCGCTCGAGCATGCTTTGACGAATTATCCGGCCATGCTTGGGTTCCACACGTATCTACAGTCTGCGATCGAAAGAGAAGCGTCGCCACACTTACGAGTTCAGCTGCGCCAAGCCGTGACAACTGCGCTGACCAATATCCAAAATGGTCGCGTCCAACGGCCTAGGCGCGAGCCTTCCACCACCGCCTCAGCATCTTCATCTACTGGTGCAATTGCCGGATCGTCAAGCGACAGCACTGCTGGTAATCAAAGCCGGAGGGCTGAAGTATCATACTCGGCCGCAGAGTCATCCGTCGTGGCGCAATCATTACAGCCATCACAGCCACAGCAACAAAGCCAGCAAGGTGGGCAGGCGGCCTCCTCGTCTTCAAGTGCAAGTCAAATTCATGCTCCAGTTCCAACTTCAGCTGTGCCATTTCAAGCGGGGCAGGCTGCGACTCCCGCCCATCACCATCACCACAGACATCATCACCACCACCCGCATCTTACGCCCGCCGAGAACGCGCCAGCCCGCGTCTTCAAATTGCAATTTGATGCTCGCAAGATTATTTGCTGTACGCAGTCGCAAATAATTGTAGGATGGGATTTTTGCAATGGTGACAAGGAATTGCAAGAGGCTTCACGATTCTTCGCTACCATTGACTGAGCTTTGGGCGGTGCACAGTCATTGTTTAGATTTCTTTTTGGCATTTGCATCAGGCGCAATAGGATACAGGAAAACGTATTTGACAAGAAGCGTATTTATGACAAGCGTTATAACGAATTGATCTGCACATTATTACTTTGCAAAACGCCAACCCCGGCCACGCTGCCCAATGTAGAATGTATTGGGAAACGGCGTTGGTCTAATTGTCCGAGATATTGATAGCTGAAGAAAATAGACGAAAGTCGCAGATACGAGACAAAGACCGCGCTTGAATCAGTATGGCTGATCCATTTGTCAGAATGCAAATTACAGTCAAGTTCCGTGATCCAGACAGGCAATCGGTGATCACCATCCGTGACAAATGCGTCTCGACATTATCTACTTATATGCTATGCGGCAGAGTGAAAACTAAAATGTGAGTCGCTAAGGTGAAAGAAATCAAACCCCCAGAACACCATACAAGAGAGGCCCGAGAAATCAAGAAAGACTCAACCAGCGACCTGCTTCACCTTGTCTTCTGTCTGTGGCGGCTCGTCCACAAACTCGGGCACGACCTCGTCCTGCAGGAAGCCCGGCACGCCGCCCGCCATTTCCTGTTCGAGCTCTTGCTCCATGCCGAGGGCCTCGAGCTCGGCGTCTAGCTCGGACTCGTCAACCTCGTCAGGTATATCGTAGCTGCGGGCTAGGCTGTCCTGGATCTCGTTGCCCATGTCGAGTAGGTCCGCCATGTCGTCCTGCATGCGCTCAATCTTGTCCACGTCAATCTTGCCGTACTGCCTGCGCAGCTCCTTGTTGGTCGTCTTCATGGCGTCGACCTGCGTCATGACGTTTTTTAGATTGTCCTGCATGCTCTGCGCCTGCTCCATGTTCCACACCTGGCCCTCAAGCTTGTCCTTTTCCGCCTCGTACGCCTTGCGCTTCTGCAGCACCTTGAGCGCCTTTTGCTTGATGGCTTGCTTGCCGGGGCCGTCGCGCATGCGGGACAGTTTCTCCTGGTAGGCGGAGAGCTCGCCGTTGATGGCTTTGAGTTTTGTGTCGACCGAGGCGATGCGCGCGTCGATGTTGGTGATGGCGCCGTTAAGTGTCGGTTTTGGCCCGGCGGGTTTGGCGCCGAATAGACGGTTCATGGTGAGGAGGAAGAGATCTTTGATATATGGGAAGGCGTGAGTTTCGTGATTTCCAATGAACTGGGTTCGAATTCGCAGAGATTCTGGCGTTCTTCTTGTTACGTTGGAGAAATGGCAGCCTAGGCAGATAACGTTGCTTGTCAGTCCAGTCGCCGGCCGGCCCATGGAGGGGCAATCTGCCCGCAAAAGCGCTGGGCCGTTTGCTGCAGGGGACACGATGAGTCAGCAAGCTCGCGCCGACACCCCCAAAAGAAACAAAGTTCCGAATCGAGATTAGACTGCTTTTGTGCAACCCCAATGGGGCAAATTGTAAACAATAGTTTTGTGCAAGCACAAACAGCTCCACCGAGTTTCGATGTCGTGGAATAGACAACTCACGCGTCGGTGTGCGACAAACACAGATTCTCGTTGCTTCAAGGCCTATATAGTCTCTTTCTGCCCCCATTGACGACCACGCGCAACTTACCCCTTTATTCGTACTGGATATGCTTTCATCCTGATAGCCATCTGGCATTATTCACTTTCATACGACGCGCATCGATAATCTCGCATCTTGAATACAATAGACCTACCGCGTCTTGAGCCGCGAAGCTCCCATACTTCACAAGATGGATACCAATGCGCAACGACGCAACGGCTTTGCCGTCGGAACAGAAAGGTGATTCTCCTTGGTCTTGTCTTCCGAGACCTGAATTCTGATCGATTTTAGGATATCTTATAGCGTGCCCAAATCGTTCTTCCCGTTGCAAGACGCGACTACGTCTTCGACAACGACAGACAGCTCAAAAACTGCGACACAGTATGCTCTTTGTCACATTCTATTTTGACTTGCACTAATCAATTACAAAGAACATGGTCGAATTACTTAGCCGGCCAACGAGCCCAAACACAATACCGTGCGTGGTCGCGTGTCGAGATCCCATCACACTCGGCTTGCAACTTCGCCCGCACGGTCATGAAGCGCATTGGTCTTCCGATACCCTGGGACGCGTCGGCTCAAACGATTCCTCCACCTGTTGCACCGATTCACATAGATTTCTCCTTGCTTGCTGACGATGGCATGCCCAAGCGCCGCGTTGTACGCCGCCTGGACTCATACGAAGCGTCTAGCGAGGAGTGGCAGGTGGGGGGAAAGCCATTTTCGAGTTTGGCGATGCTTGGTCTACAATTACAGGCCAAGGCTGAAGTCGCCGATTGCCTAAGGACATATCCGACGTCCACTACCCAGGCCGAAGCGCGACAGCGCCGGGATGGTCATTACGTTCAGGTCATCCCTCAGAAGCGACGAACGGGGATGGAGCATAGTGCTGGAAACAGACTGGGCACATACATCAAGGCAATGGAGCTGCCAAAGAGCACACCCCATTTCCGAATGCCTCGCCGACGATTCAGTCCCCTGCCTCGTCCGCAGGCCACCAGCCCAACGCTTTCTCCCATTGCTCTTTTCACACCGAATAAAGAGCCCGTCACCCCAGCCGCTGTCATGCAACCGCCTCGGGATATGTCGGACGCGAAGTCGCCGACAAAGAGAAGCCCACGACACACGAGTCCGCCAATCAAGAACGACGGACCGCGCATCAGCGAGCCTGCAGTCAAGCTGCTACCTGCGACGACGCCCAAGATTGAGCCGTCGCCCACCAAGTCTGTGTCTCCACCTCCTGCGACACCTTTGGGCGAAAAGCGGAGGCTGCGCAGCATTTTGGGGACTCCGTCGACCTTTCCTAAGGCTGCGCCCTTTGGAAACGCGTTTGCTGGCATGCGACGGCATTCCGCCATGCGACCCAGCGGCGCAGTGCCATTCTCCTTGTCGCCGATCAAGCTGCTGGCTACACCTTGCCCGAGCCATCGTATTGTGAAGCGTCAGAACTGGCTGTCGCCAACGAAGCGCACGTTTCCTGTTGCCGAAAAGCCTTCTCGATCTGTTGCTGAGGAACCAAAGACCCCTCGCATATTTAGCAACATTTCGTACATGACCGCCGATGTCCCGAGCCCCGTTGCTTTCGTGTCGACGCTGTTTCCGGATAGTCCTGTGAAGCGGTCCATCGACTTGCAATCCGCTACGCCACAGAAGCCGGCCGACTTTGAGTTCGGAACGGCATCGCCGGCGTTCAATGCGGTCACTTGGCTAAACAACGTCGACACGACTCCGCGACCGGTGGCAAGCTTGAAGAAGAGCTCTAGACGGCTAAGTGAGCCGCTAATCCGTGGCTGCTTGAAAGGGCAGAATCGCAGGCAGACGATGTCGCCGCAGAAACTTGGGTATCAGGCTGAGGATACGTTTGCTGGATTGCAGGGTCGGTCATTGGGTGACCGATCGTCAAGTCGCAGACAAACAATTTCTCCGAAGAAACTGATATTCAACGGATCAGATGGCCTGTTCTCCCCCGCCAAGAAGGCTGGTCAGCCTTTGACGGCTTCTGTGGAACTGAAGTCGTCTCCTTCACCAGGGCTGCACAGGGTGCAAAAGCGCCGCGTAAGCTTCGGTAGCAAAGGCCGAGCTGCCTCGCGACAGGCGAAAGAGGTTGTTAAGATTGATATGCGGCAGAACTCCGATATTTTCGGTAGTAAGCCTGTCTTGTTGAACTCCTCTCCTGGCTTGAGTGCGGCACTTCCCAGCATTACCGAAAGCGGACATGAGGTGGAAAGCTATGATGAGCCCGCTAAGCCTCGCCTGTTCTCCCCCTCCACCGAGGCGCAGTCTCGTAAAGTTGCCGAGCAGACTGCCTGTCTGCAAACACCGACAAAGCTCAGTCAGGTAGCAGTTCAGGACGCCTCGCCCGTTCCCATCGTGGGCAGCCCAAAAGCTGCTCTAGGCATCATTGAAAGCCTATCGGTCATCGACTCTCTTCAAGCCTCTATTGAAGAGCGCAAAGAAGTCCCCGGTGCTGAGCCTCGTGCTATTTCGCAAAGCCCGAGCCCGGTGACTTCTACTTCTGTTTCATTCTTCCCGAGGAAACAGAAGCTTAGCCCTAGCCCGACGCTGAATCTGACATTCACTCCGGTTAACAGCCGAAGTCCGAGTGCACTCGAAGCAAATGTGCTAGCAGAGGAGTCGATCCCGGAGAGCCCCCTGACGAACACAACGGAGATTGTGGAAACTGTCACGGCCAACTCCCACGATTACGACAGCCCTGGACGCGACTACATGAGGGAGTTTATAAGACGCTCGCGTCCAAAGCGTTCTTCCACGACCGAGACTGGCTCTCCAGTTGGCATTACGGTCAAGCGCCAGCCGTTGGGTGCTAAGAGCCCCAACACTGAAAGCCCAAGCAAGAACAAGCGGAAGCTCGAGAAAGAGCATGACGAGCATGAGTCACCGCTTAAGAGAGCATCCGACGCATCACCAAGGAAAGTGCGACGCTATGGCGGCAACATTTCCAGGAAGCGTACGGCAACGAAAGCGGACGGAGATCAGGACGAGCAGATTGAGACCCTAGAAGTCACAACTGCGACTGACGCCGCAAAGAACGTCGAGGAGCAGCATGTCAACACTGAGTCGGACAGCAAATCTAGACGCTCCTCTCGACTGCGAAATCAGACGCGTCTGCCATCTGCCAAGTCGGCTATCCCGACTCCCATCAAGCTTGGGCGGAGCAGCGGTTCGATGCTGAACTCTGCTGTTCGCAGCGAGCAGCAGGACCTGAAGACCCAGACTCGCAGAAATACGCTCAGAAACAAGGGAAGATCTGAACAGCCTGCCCAATTCCTGGCTAGACAACAGGCAGAGGGGCAAGCAGAGCCAGAACCCTTGGAGCGCGATTCCGAGTCGGATAAGGAACGACGCAAATGCGTCAACTGGAACAATCCCTTGGCCATGTACCAAGAGGAAGTCCGGAGGAAGGAGACAGTCACGCCCAAGAAGGGCAAGTCTGCAAAGCCAAAGACCGTGCAGATGAGCGGCATCGCGAAGCCCAGCACACGAGCTAAGACGACGGCGGACAAGGAGCGTACTGCGCGCCTGGCCGAGCACTTTGGCATGGTGTCTAACGGGACTCCCGCGAAGCCACAACGGTCGACACGATCACGCATGAGAATGTGAGCATCATTGATGAATGTTTAGGGCATCATTGATAGAAGCGCGCATTTTCTCATGATACTAGAAATACATGGCGTTGGACACTGGATTTTGGCAGGGCGACGATGGAACAAGGCGAGCAGAAGAGGAAACAAGGTTTGCATTGCATCTGTGAGCGACACGGCGTCATTGTTTGAGTCATTCACGGTCTTTTCTTCACTGGAGGAGTTTTAGTATTCTTTTCTAATAGCGGATTTTCCACTCACATGCTGGAATGTTTCTACCCACCTAGCATCGCATCTGGGGTTTGGAATATGTGATATATCAAGGGATAGGATAAGGAAAAGATGACAGAGGAATAGGTCAGACTGATAGTTTAGCGAGCATGGCCTTTGTTTGAAGAATGAATTATCTTTTTGATTGCAAAAATTGATTGTCCAACTTGACGAGTTTTTAGCTGTATCATACTACAAATTCGTTGAGAATGGTTCTTGCCGCGTTATAACATCTTGTAATAAGTTAGAGATTACTTCAATTTGTCATTTCTGGAGACTGGTGATGTTTTTAATTACCCTAGGGAAGATGACGGCATAGTAGTGAACTCACACTGTTAGAGCAGAGGGTTTTACCTAACTAAACTTGGATTTTTTTTCTTGCATATAATGGAGATAATAAGCCGTGTAGCTTGATGAGAAACAAGAGCATCTTTCTTGTCGTATTTGGTTTTTTGAAGACTGCGCAGCACCTGGACATGTTTGCCAACAATAATGAATATATTTTGCGGGGAAGGAATGATTGGACAGTGGTATCGAGGAAAACAATGTTCTTTTTGGACTCGGCAGGACAGGCACCTTTTGTCTCCCGGGAGTCGCCCTCAAGCCCTCCACACGACCATGCACTTATCCCGCCCAACAGCTTTGTCTGCAGTATTACAGAGGGAAAGGCCCCCCCCAGCTTCGTTGCAATTCTGGGCGGCCGACCTCGCGTGATGCCATGTGATGAGACAAATCGCCAATACATTCATAACTTCTTTGTCAGCGCCTCGTGCTGTGCTCTCGGCGTATCGCGCTGTGCTACGGCTCGTTAAGAAAACGGTACATTTTCGCTTTGGCGTCGAGAGGTAGAAGATGCATACAAGACCATCAAGTCCCTCTTCGTGCAATCAATCGTCTGCCAATGCGCTGGAGGTAAATGGGCTTCTTGTGTAATGGTCAATTTATTTAGCCACGCGCCGGCTACAAGTTTCATCTTCGCGAACTATACAGGGACTACTAGCCTTAATGCCTCGTGTCTCGTTTCCAGTCAGGCATTAGACTATTTTTCTTTCTGCTCTTGGTAACCCTGGCGGCAAAGGAAGACGTACCTTTCTAACGTGCCCTAGCACAGAGCGAAGCGCCGAGAGACCAACGCGATACGCTCAAGGGCGAGCACATGGTGGCAAGTGATGAAGGAAGATGGCATCTTCGCGTACCCTGTATAGCCCGAGTAAGAAGCGCCAGTGATTATGATGAAAATATTTGTCTGCTATTCTGCCCCAGGTGCAGAGATGCCGAAAGTTCCACAAAGCCTTTCTTGAGCTATAAAAGAGACCTAGACACAGAAGGGGGGTAGAAATAATTAGTTCTTCAGAAAGCATTCATGATTTTTACCTTGAGGAACAATAAAAAACAACAACAACAACAACAACAACAACAAGAATCATCCTAGTCTATAAATATGGAATACGACCTGAGTGAAGCACACTTGGACGAGCCCAATGTGTACAAAGCCACTTTGAATCAAAAGCAGGGCTTTTATATTGAGTTCAGACAGTTGATAGAGAGTCCATCTCAGCTGCTCGGTAAATTCTATTACAAGAAGCGAGTGCCAATACTATATACAAGACTTCATACGTGACGACCGTCAAGTTCGAAGATGCCGACGGAGATTCGACGGAAGAATTCGGCAACGAAGAAAAGCTTTGGCGTGCTTTTTCAAAGTGAAATCCGAAATACAAGCCAGAGAGTAAAACAGATGGGAAATGCAAAGGGTACGGAAAAGAGGAAAAAAATAAGGGGACTCTAACGATGCAGGGGGGAAACTCAACGGTTTGCGGCAGGGCTTGAGAGAGCTTCGGGGCTGTATCAGGAAAGTCTAATGTCAAGTACCGGGGAAAATCGAAAGTGCACGGAAAAGGTGCAGTGGCACAAGCAACGACTCTATCATTGATGATTCGATGCGTGTATTGTAGTTTTATTATAGGAGAGGATAAATGTCAAGTATCTATGGAGGCGCGAAAGTATTTCTGGTTGGATTCTCTATATTCCACTCACTACTGTTAGTCGGCGACTCCTGTGTGTGCCTTTTACCTTGCTGGCATGAAGCCTACAAAGAATACCAAACAAGGCCACTCAAAAGTATAAGTTTACGGAAATCTCATCAGATCTACAAACGTAATCTATCTATTGGTCCAGCACTTCAAAGCCTTCCTCGATGCACATGTCACATGAACTGCGGCTCTGGAAAAGACTTCACAGGACGGCGAGAACAGCTTTCTCATTCATCTACGTTTATTTCAATGAAACGTAAGAAGATTGTCCCATCTCCAGCTCCGCTTCTCGCCGAAAATCATGCGAAAGAGGTACGAGTCTGGGCTGAGACTCCCAACGGCGCCGATGGCTGCAGAGGCTTTCCGTCCAGCTCCGAGGAGTATGGCGGAGAAGACGGATGAGGATATAGTGTTAAAAATAAACGAGAATTTGTTTACATCTGCCAATGCCCAGCCCATAGAGTACGGGGGAGAGAAGAACCGACGCAGATGTTGTCTCAACGCTCGGGGGCAGTCGATTAACGAGCGCATCGATCACGGCGACAAGCTCAAAGCCACCACCTAGCGAGTCCTGGATGGATTCGCTCCCCCTCCAAAAGTGAATGCAGTTGATGTTGACAGTGACACGAGAAGAAGACTGCGAGATTGGCTTTTTTTTCGTGGCAAAGTTGGGCGCCGCCGATGACTGTGCAAAGCAGTCGCAGAATTTTCGATGAATGTGAGCGTAACAACATCACCCAATATGTGTGTCCCACTGAATCAACTCCTTGTTTGTTGAATTTAGCTTATATTGAGTAATATTGATAGCACGACAGATTGTATTCACAACTTGTGCGCCCTCGACTCGAGCATGTTTGCGTTGTTGTGCTACTCCGTGTCACAAACAAAAGATGCACGTAGAGAAAAATCTTTTATGGCCAGAAACCCAGTTTATAGGGCAAAAAAGTCAAACTATAAAATGGTGCCTCGAGAGCACGACAATCTTCATCCTTTAAATAAAACACAGCAATCATGGACGACATTGAGCCATTCGAAGTCCCGTACCAGGCATTATGGCGCATCAAGCACAACGGCAGAGACGGGCTGGCATTCGAGTGGCCAGAGGCGCCAATACTCTTGCTCCTCTACTGCTGCGTCTCGGCGACTGAATTCGAACCGGTGCAAGAAGTGGCCGTGGCAAAGGTGCCCGCAGACTGCTCCCCAGTGGGATGGTTCTTCCACATGGACAGAGAAGAGGTCAAGGCCGTCTGCACGAGCATAATGCCGCCCAAGAACGCTGAAAGAACCAGCGACTGGATATCAAGCGTGACGGGGTCGCTCTCAGAAAGGAGCATGATATTCTGGGAGGGCGACAGCGAAGAGGATCTCATTGCGTTTGGGGCCCTTGATCCGATCGCCGTCCCGGCCATTCCTACAGCTAAACAGGAGAGCTGCCCGCGTAAAATGCCCGTCACGCTCGACAAGGCCGTCAGCCAGTCTACGCTCGTGGTCGTCGAAAAGAACATTTTCTCGCTCGCGCTGCCCAAAAAACCTCCTGACGTGGTCATGAGTAGTAGGGCTGCTTCTGCTGCTGCTGAGCCCGACAAGGAAAGCTGCTTGTTCGATCCGTTCATCAGCTTTGACCAGGTGGTCGCCGAGCCGGTCGGCCCAGGAAGAAAGACAGAGAAACATGACGAAATCACGTACAGCTCGACACCAGAGGGCTCACAGGGCTCCGAAGATATGGAAATCGAGTGGTTCTAGTCCTACTCTGGCGAGTCACCGGTGAAGGAAGTTCTCGGCCTCTGCCTCTGCCCTATTTACAAAGAAAATGGGGCAAGCAATTTATTCTAGTCGTTAAGAAGGCTGGCTCACCCCTGGACTGCAACTCAGATTGCAAGTTTACATCACAGGAAGCCCTATCTAGGTGCTCTGCGCGAGAAAAGCCACAACGGACTCGAGCCTCGGTACAGGAGAGATGCCAGCGCTGACATCAATACCTTTGGAAGCGCAAAGCTGGAGGTCGTCTCACTCGATGAGGATAATACTTTTGTATGTCTTGTTCAAATATCTCAAGTACACCAACTTTTCTAACAATAACCCAGCAGCGACATGCATTCGACGCTCACTGACACGAGCGACCGACATGGAGCAGCACATTGGGCAGGCTGCTTCTCCCATGGAGTGCCCCCGTTTCTATAAACAATATTCAGGTACGTAAATATCAAAGTACAAGAAAACGTGAAATGAGACTGGGAGCCCTGGAAGTGTATCGGACTGTGCCTGAGCCAACGCCCTGTGGAAGAGTGCGAAGAACGGAAGGAATTGGGAAGACGGATTATGGTATATAGAATGATGATTAAATTATACTTTAATTTTGCCAGTGTCAGTGAGAATGAATGTAGAAATACACCAGCCGATAACCAATGTTTTGCCCTCATCCGCTGTACTGTCTGTCACCACGACCTTTTACCTCCACAAACCCTGTCAGCCAATCTTTTTTTTTTTTTGCCTCGCTGGTTGAATTTGCGGATGCTTAGTTGACCTGATAAGAGTGCAATCTGGAGACTGTTTAGAATCACTTTTCTACTCAAGATATGACTGCAAGGGGGACCATCACTTACTCGGCGCCCAGGAGGTGCCGCCACAGGATCTCGGCCTCTATGTTGACGAGCTCTTTTGTGCAGAGCTTCACGATGATTTTATTTACCCAGTCCTTGGGCGATTTCATTCTCTCTGTGAGCTGGGGAAGGGAGCAAACTTTTGCGACTTTTGCTACATCCTTTTCAAACATCCTCGCAATCATGGTGTAGGTGTCTGGGACCGTCTCGCAGGGCGAAATGGACAGCTGGAGCTTATTGTCCGGGTCGCTCGCAAAGTACTTGTAGAGCATCTTGTGGCCGTCTGGGTATTCAAGAACGATGTGAACTGGGCTCATTGACGATTCTTCGCAGATGGTGCACCACATGTTGAACAGCATCGTTGGGGGCGCAGCTGATTGATTTGCTTCTTGTACTCTGCAAAGGAGGCTTTTGGATCGTGCAGGGTAACTAGATCAAAAGTACCACGCCTTGTGTTCAGCTTCGTATCCCAAAAAGAGCATGAAATGTGATGCAGTCGCGCTTTTTGAGAGAGCGAGACAAAAAAAGAGCATTGATTTCATTGACTGCCACGATGCCATCTACCATGGCCTCTACGCCCGAAGTGGCCTTGGGGGGTCGCGCCTGCCTAGACGAGATATGATGCTAGCATGGCTGCGAGACGCCGCCCATCACTCTTGTTTTGGGTTTTGCTAAGCAAGAATGCTCACGAGAATAAAACACCTACGACCCATGTACTACAATTACATGTAGTACATTTTAATACCTGTGGCGCCACGGTGGGAAACACTCGAAAAACGCACTGATCAGCGGCTGTTGCGTGTGTCTCGTCATTCCGAACAACCGTACTACCAACCCCCTACCTAGGTGAGTTCCGGAAAAAACGAGAGGATATGTGAGTATAGCTTGTGGGACTTTGCAAGACACGGGTTCATGCATAATAATATTGTGCAACCGCGTGAACATTAGAGTCTGATCAGTGCTGCCATGGTGAATCACCGTGTAAGAATAGGCCTACCCGGCACCTTTTTTGTACCTTGAGAGTCAAGTCTGCCCATTGTTTCCCCATCAACGGGCCTTGACTTGGCCTATTATTATTGCTACCCAAGGCAACATTTTCTGAGATGGGCGAGTTGTTTTCTTTTCGCCGTATGTAGAACGAGTTTCGCGCTGAGAGTACACGATCAATTTGGTCCAGCCTCAAAAGTGAAGTGTGTGCTTTACTACATGCAATTCTTTTTAGCCGAAATCTCACTGGCAATCTCAAGAAACTCCTGAATAATACCCCTTGATTCGTTCTTATGCGCGTACACCAGTACACGTTTGTAGCTTCTTCGTACATGGAAAACGGGTGTGTCACGGTGTACAATTGCGCAAAGAGGCCGCGTGACAAAGAATGAGGAACACACAGCTACTCAAAGACATTCTTTCACGGAGAAGAAAGAGTAACAAAAATGTCATAATGAAAAGAAGCAAAAAAGCAGCTCGAACTAAAATTGATCGTTTTCTGAGAGTAAAAGTTGACTGCAGTTTTAGGCCCTAGTTCGCAACGGAACCAAGATTCCCTTTTTCTGGAGAGTCTTGATTGTATCCTCTGCGTAATTCTTAAAGTAGTTGTTGAACCACCCAATCTCATTATCCTCCTCAATCTCTGCCCTGAGCGTAGCAGAAGAAACTCCCCTCTCCGCAGCAGCCCTCTTTCCCTCCTCGACCGCGTCTTCCAACCACTTGAGCCACGCACTCCGCGCGGCCTGCTGGTCCTTGTCCGGCACCGCAATGAGCGTGCGCAGCTCCGACTCTGAGTCCTCGACACACCTGTGGTCGACCATGCCGTACACGGCAGATTCGATGCCGTCGAGAAGCAGCGGGTTGTCGACCTCGTCCTCCCAGTGGCTGTGGAAGAGGCCGTTGCCAAATGACCATTTTTGCACCAGGGCTTTGGGATCGGTGCGGTTTCCGCAAAATATAAAGAGAATCTTGCTGGACTGCCTGTCAGTGACGCCAGACCTTCTTCGCAGATAGAGCTTCAGGTAGATTGTGTTGGATCGCGAAGAGGACGCCATCGAAAGCTGATTGATCTGAACGGAGATGAGGCGGCGGGTGGTGAGGTGAAGACTGAGGCTCTGACTTTTCCTTTGGATGCGAGAATAGCGAGAATAATGACACAGTATATATAATACCTGACGGAATGGAAGGGTGTTCGTCACAGCCGATCGAACCTATCGTCGGTAATACACGCGCCGTGTATTACTTTTGCCCCGTCCGACACCGGTCAAGAATGTAGCGAACGTGTTTTACTCGCGGCGATTACCTTCTTTGTTGACGGGAAGTTTGAACCGGTAAAAAGAAAAAAGAAAAAAAGAGCCGGCTTGAGGCAGTCGAAATCGGAAATGTCAAATAAAGGTCGATTCGAGGATCGAGGTCTTTTTTATGAAGATTGAGGGGAACTGGTATAGAACCCAATGACCTTGACAATCTCTCTGTTCGCCCCCAAGTTTCACCTGTTTTACAGGTTCGACTGATCTCGTTCTATCGAATCACTCGACCATTGTGGCACAATTCGATAGATTGCGTATATAAAGGCGCTGCCAGACCCAATCCCTCTGGACGGACGTCTTCATCATCAACATTAGCAATCTGCAGACACCCAACACCCAACACCCAACAAAAAAACACTTGAGTTAAAACACGATTCAAGCCGGAAATCATGCCTGCAACTTCAAACTACCGCAAATTCTGGTCCAACCCCTACATTGGTCATCCAAACGGGAGCCTGACCATTACTCTGGAGCACTCGTCCAATGGTGCCGGCGACGGTCGTCACTACGTTCTCCAAGAGCAAGGTGTGCTCGAGATTCGTGACGTGGAGGCCGGCTTCAGGCCCGTCATTGGGCCGTTTTACTGTTTCCTCGAAAAGGACCGCGCAAAGGTGGAGGATGTTCTCAACACCGTCCCTCCTCCCAGGGACGGGAGCGTGGGGCTCTGGGCCGGAGCAATCCTGCTGGCCTTGGAGACCAAGGGTCTGGTCAAGAAGCCTTAGAAGTTGGGAGCATTAGTTTGGAAAGATGTTTGCCTCGATGCCTGCATATACGGAAGGTCATCGAGCGGGCAGAGAGGGCTCTCCATAGAATTAGTTTTGAGAGATTGATAGAGACCCAATCTGCAAGTCCTGTTCAAACGACCATGATTCTGCGACGTTGGCCAATACTCAACTTGGAAAGCTTCGAGACGACGTCTTGCATAAGTCACCTGCCGCTTGAAGATGGGAGCTACTTGGGCATCGACATGGTTGAATGATTCCGCATTATTCTAGGCCCGCGTCAGCATTCATGTTTCCCATGTTTACCCAACGTGTAGACTTCACGCTCTCTCCACGGACAAGTCATGACCTGCAATATTGCCCAACACAACAAAAAAACTCGTGATGGACGTCCCAGAGATCAGGAAAAATGGCCTGGCGACGCATGCTTGAGTAGCACAAGTCTGCACAATCTTGCCTTTTCATCACTACCCAGCCCCAAGGCTACGCAAAAGTGATGCGGTGAAACAGTACGGCCACCGCAGCAAAGCCTAACTGAAAGCCAAGGCGATTGCAGGAAACCTCGCTGCCATGAGGGATCTCGCACCTGTTCAAACGTCATGCCTAATAACGATCAATTCCGGGAACGAATCTTGTCCAACGACGCAAATATACTCGCCTCTAGAACAAAGCATAGGCTAGAAACAGTCCCAACAAACGACAAATGGCAGAGTGTCTAGTCTTTCAAGTCATCCTCCTCCGCGAGGGCCTCGCCATCTTCACCCAGTACGAGCCCATCGGCAGCGGCGGCGGCGGCGGCGGCTCCATGTTTCTCTTTGCCGGGACGGGCCAGGAGCCGCGCTGCGCCGTCGGCGACGTCGCCACGAGCCTGATGCGACACCCAAAGTACGCCGGGTGCAAGCTGCTCGGCTCGATGCGCAGGGACCGGGTCGACGAGGCGTGGGCGCTGTGCCGCGCGTACGTCGAGGACGAGAGGCACAAGCACGCGTGCGTCACGGACTGGTGCGTGGCGGCGGCCGCGATGCTCGCGGAGCGGAGGGTCGTCGTGGCCAAGAAGTGGTGGCTTCTGCCTCAGAAGACGCCGCGCGGAAAGCTCCTAGACCGCACGTCGAGGGATGTGCTGTGAGATGTGGGGAGGTTAGGAGGGGTCTTGGTTATCCTTGGTGGAAAAAAAGAATCTTCCATCATCTATGTTTTGTTCCTTTGTTCTTGGGTCTTTATTGATGCGATTTTGGGTGAGCCGCGCGGAAACTGCGGCCCGGACGGGAGTGGTTTTTAGCATGGTACAACGGGTCAAAGGTGGACAGACAAAAGTAAAAAATGGAAAAAAAAAATGATGCTAGTCGGGAAGAACTCGATTCCAAGGCGGAAAGATGGTGATGAGCATGCTTCTCAAAGAAAATGTATTGCAGAATTCCTCCTATGAATATTATCAGATGCATACATGTGCCCGCACCCCTAACCCTTGGCAAAGTGGGTGCGGGCACATGTAGGGCCTCCACCACCAACCAGGCCAAGCACCATTCATTATCTTAGCTTACTTTAATCCGTTCTAAGTACGGAGAAAGAATCGAAAAGTACTATCCTACAGGGGTATTACCCTAGTTAAATTGACCAGAGGGCGTACGCTACTAGATTAGGCACTAAAGGGCCCCTTTTTATATTCTAGCTTTATTAAAGCCTCTATAACCTCTATAACCTCTACTACTACTATTACTACTACTAGTTAAATACTATTATAAATAGAGTTAGCTATAAAGGTATTAATTATAATACTAAAGGTATTATTTTATAAGAAATTAAGTATTAAGATTACTTCTTTAACTAAAGTTATTAGCTATATAGTTAACTATATTTAAGCTTATATTATTAAAAAAAACTTTAATCTAATAATATTACTAATAGTATTAAAAGATAAATATCTTAAAGATACTTTAAGGTCTAGCTAATTATTAAAA